GTTCAGTCGCTGTTTCTGGCCGCCCGAGATAGTGATGCCTCTTTCGCCGATTTCTGTCAGGTCATTGTTGGGCAGCATATCTAGATCGGGTTGCAATGCGCAGCTAATCCAATAAAACACGTATCAGTTACACATTCAGGAAGCTCACAAAAGAGAAAACTTACGCCTTGATGACCTCCGAGTACCACTCTTTATCCAGCTCCTTCCCAAACAGGATATTGTCCTTCACAGTGGTGTTCTGGATCCAGGCATACTGGGGGCAAAACGCCCTCGAAGCGCCCAGGACCACCTCGCCGCTCGTCTTGCGCATGTCTCCAGCCAAAGCCGCGAGCAGCGACGTCTTCCCGCTGCCGACAGTGCCGATCACAGCAACAAGCTCGTTCCTCCCAATCTCAAAGTTCATATCCTGGAGCTTGAAAGGCTCGCGCTCCTCAACCAGCGTCCTCGCATCTTCCTCTCCCGAGCTTGCGTTCGGCGAGGGAGCGCGCTTCTTACTGTTGGCCTTTGGTTCCTTGACCTGCTGCTGCTTTCCCCCCTTGGAAGCGCCGGCACCGCCGACTGTGGCCTCGAGCTCTTGGGTCGGGGTTCTCTCCCAGGTGAAAGACGCATTGTGCATCGCCACGGCGCTGGGGGCGTCGGGCTTGAGGGTCGCCTCGTCTTCCCGCTCCTCGGCCAGTAGGAACTCTTGGATACGCGAGACGGACGACCACGCGTCGGTGACCTGGCCGATGACCAGCGGGAGCATGTTGAGCGGCATTCGCAGACCGTTGAAGAGGGCGAGAGAGGAGAAGACCTCTGCCGGCGCCAGGTCGTGGTTTGTGAGGGAGTAGGTGATGAAGGACAGCATCGAGGCGAAGATAGGTAGCGATAGGCTGATGGCCATGATGGCGTTGCGTAGAGCCAGCAGGACCTGGATGGCTGCGATCTCGCGGTTTCTGAACTCCTCGAGGCGCTGTAGGAACGAGCTCTCCCAGCCGAAGAACTTGACGAAGCGGACCGACTGCAGGATCTCCTGCGTCAGACTGACCCGCTGATCGGTGATCTTGTTGATGGCCTTTCTGCGGATGAAGAGCTTCTTGATGGCGTTTGTGAGAACTGGGATTCCGATAACCAGAAGGGCGAAGCCGGCCAGGGCGCTGTAGGTCAGGTTGATGACCAGCATCACGAGGGTGATGAGGCATGATATCGGTGCTGTCCAGATGATGTGGAACAGTCCAAAGGCTTGGTCTATTCTGTAAGTGTCGACACTCATTAGGTTGATCTACACATGCATTACATGTCAGTATATTGATCATTCAGGGGGGCCTTGCCTTTTGCATCAAACTTACAACTCTGCCATTGCCCCAACCAATACCGTCGCCAGAAACGCCCGCCTGGCCGCCGCCCTCAGCAGACTCCTCCCCACCCTTCTTCTTGTTTTTACCCTCTTTAATTTCTTTCCCTTCCTTCTCCTCCGTACTCCCGGACGCAGCACCCTCAATCAGCTCAGCGCCTCCCGCCTTGGCGCGCCCAGAAATCACCATAGACTTTTCATAGATCAAACTGATCAGCGACGCTCTCGCCATGCCACCGATCAGCATGCCGCGGTAGATGAAGTGGTTGGTTCCCAAGCTCTGGAGAATCTGCATGGCCGTCACGCCAAATACCAGGCCCAGACCGGCTCCGAGATGGGGCGCGGGCAGCCCCTGGGTGTTTGCGACGTAGGCGTCGGACGCGAACTGGATCAGGTAGCGGAGGGTGAAGGGCGACATGACTTGGAGGATGGCCGACATGAGCTGGCACATGCCGCCGACCCAGAACTCGAAGAAGAAGGTCTCATGGATGGCGCCGAGCAGAGGGTGCTTATCGCCCTTTGCGACGCGCCGCTCGAAGGAGGCGCGCATCTTGTCCGTCAGTGGGTCGACGGCGCGGTTTGGGTTCACGCTGTAAATGTCTGTGGGCTCGAGGGAGCGCTTATATCCCGTCTGTGTGGCGAGTCAGCATGGTCTCCTCTGATTGTTTCGTTTTGCTAGCTGGTCCTCACTCACCTGCATCAGGGGTCCCATCCAGCCAAAGAACAGGATGCTGAAAAAGCTGGCCTTGTATTCTGGACACACGGCATTTTCCTTGGGCACTGGGGGGATTTTGCCCCATCGTAACGGGTTGGGTTGTTTGTACCACGGCTTGCTCTCCTTGATGGGTTGGTGACCTGTGGTGGTGCTGACCATGCTGGTGCCGGTTGCATAGCTCTTCATACGGTTGAGCTCTGTCCTCCTCTCGATATCTTCCTCATCCTCACTGTGCCTGACCTCTTTGCCATCCACGTGCTGCCCCTTCCCCAACTGGGCCTCTGCAATCTCCTTTTCCTCCTCTATGGGCTCATCTGAAGACGGGTTTGAATAGGTCCGCGCCAGCGGGTCAGGCACAGCGGTGGTGTGGTTATCCTTCTCTGACGGGGGTTCTGCCATGATAGAGCAGAGTAGCAAGGGTAGGCCTCGCAAGAGAGATGTATCTCTCTGGTGGGTTGGAGGTGGGGTCAGGAAGCAGGAAGCAAGCACAAGCAGGCTAAAGCTTCAAGACACACAAAGACAAACAGACAGACGTATTCGAAAATTGACGCCCGGAACACACAACAGCAGCCCGTGTCATTCATATATTATAAATGATGGAATGCCTGGTGTGGCAGTACGCCATCGATACCAGTGAGGCTACTAACGAGCACTTATCACTAGCAGCTGGTCCTTGAACGCGACAGAGTAGTAATGGTAGGATTTATGTAGTGGGTGGAGGTTAAAAAAGTAAAATAATGGCTAAAGTTTAGGTAAGGGTACTAAGCTTGACGTTGGTCTCGCGAGACGGAAATACCAACGATAGCTCCTCTCCCTAATCACCGGTCGAGCAATGACAGGCAGGGTGTGGACGATGGCTAAGGGACCGGCTTCGGGTAGCCAGTCGGCGAGTCGGCGAGTCGACAAGATGGTAAAGGCAAGGAAGGGGCGATAGATTTAGGGAATACGATGGAGAGAAGTTGGTTGAGACGGAAGGAAAGAGCGACCTGACTTAATAATGACGGTTCCGCTAGGACCCTCTTGCTCTGCGACCTACCTCCCATATCTCCCCATTTTCCTTTGCCCTGCCCTGTCCTGGCTTGCCTCATTGCCTTTTCTTTAGGTAGCAGCAGCACCAGCAGCGGGTGTGTCCTCCTGCAGGTACTGCTAGCCGGCGGTCCTCCGCTCGACTTTCTTGATGAAAGTGGATCTGGCTTGTCCGGCCGGCACTAAGCTTTCTGGGCCTCAAAGGGCGGGACTAGACTTGTCAGGGGTGGGTGGGAGACAAGAAAATGTCGGGCGACGGCAAGAGCCACCGCCGATGGTGGCCGATGGTGGTGACGACCTGCCTCTTGCCGCTCTTGGCGCAGCGGCTTCTTGACGGACGACTGTTCATGGTGACGTGCGTTCCACCGGTCCACCCCCATTAGACAATTTCTGGGCAGCTTCCAGCCCTATTTGTGTGGGCTTGTTCTGATTAATCAACAGCTATGATTAGGTAGTGCATGTTGTTTTTCGAATTTCGAAACCCCAAAATCCTTGATATATTGCAGTATCGTTGCCGTTCGTCTGGGTTTTTGCAATTGGCCAATATCATTTTCTGGAGGTTCAAGGAGAAGTCAGAATACTTATGTCCGTTACCAGCATGGCGGTGGGAGTCACACAGATGAGATCACAGATGAGACCGCCAACGCCCGGAAATGCGGTACGCGGCGTGGCAGCGTGGCTTGCCGATGCTTGCAAGCGAGCCATTGGATGACTGACTTTTGATGGTTACACAACGCATCGCCCAAAATCTAGTCTAAAAAGACGCCAAAAATCACCACTAATTCCATTGTTAGTTGTAATATCGTTCTAAAGATCGGTCAGCAGACAGCGGATGTCGGTGTCAATCAACGCCGGCTGTTTGACGTCTCTATAATCTTCCTTCCAGTTTGTTGGCTGAGCTTTGTGACTTGTTGTGATGGGCAGATGCCTCCGATACCCGCAATCTGCAGCTCCTCTCACAGAATGTAACTTTAAAAACCTTCTCATGATAAGGCTTGCCCTCTGGATGAATGACACCAATCATGACAGCTCTGTAACAAGCGAAGCTCGGACATGCTATCTGGGCCCGTGCAGCTTCTCTTTCCAGCGCTCCAACCAGGACGTCACCAATGAATCATATGCCGGATGATGCCCGCTGCAGGTAGGCACATCATGCCGGTACACTACAACCTAGAGGGGGGAGAACCGTCGCAGGGGGCTTGCTTGCCTTGTGCGTTGTCCGTTGTGGCGGCAGCCAGCTAGCAGTTGAACGCATGTCAACCGTGGAACCAATCCATGACGCTGAGATATGGTTACGTGATACAGAGTTGCCTGAACTGGCTACTCATGGTGTCGGTTTTGTGGTTTGTTAACCCCGTACACTACGGATAGCTTTTGTTCTAGTGGCATTACGAACATTCCCCAGTAAAAAGCTTCGAGAGTCGAGACAATGCTTGGTCAGACGCTTAATCTTTCCCCCCCACATCCCCGAGCCGACCTTGCTGAATCATCGGGAGCGATGCGCAGTCCGGAACCGAGATCGGCAAACCGTCTTGGCCTTCCATTGTTCCCCCACACTACGTGGCGCCTACGTTACTAATCCAACCCGGATAATAGACTGGGAGAGAGGGAGAAGTCGGTCGATCAGAAACTGGAGGTTCTATTTACGGGTATGACCTTCACTGCCATAACAGACAAGGAATTTACCATGGATGCGAGGATATGGTAACCGCTGGAACTCATAATATTACATGGCGGAAAGGTAAATAAAAAGGGGCAACAGAGGGGACTGTCACCATATCCGAAGGGGGCAAAACATTTATCACACACACACCACCCACAGACAAAGTGATTCACGCAACTCAAAAAATAATTTCACAGCTTATGTTCACACCTTCCCAATATCAACCATCCAACCAAGTAAACAAAACCTAAACCAAAAGAAATTGTCCGACGCAGGGATCGAACCTGCCACCTTGGAATCTGACAAGAGCTAACCATCCGAACAAATATTCGAACAACAACTTTAGTGTGAGCAAGACGTGACAACCACTACACCAGCCGGACCAGCTGTGATTGATGGTGGATAAGTATGCAGTGTCAGGGGCAAGGCAGGTGGATGGGCTGGCATGCAGACAAACAGTTCGCAGAGTTGCCTCTCTCATAAACGTACGGCATAACAGACTAAGAATTACAATTCAAACCACGAACTCGAGGACGGTGATATTTTCAGTGTATATGGTCATCATCAAAACACGCTGTAATCATGATGAACAAGTTCAACGCAACCAACCAACCAACACACTACATTGTACTGTCAACTCTTGACGTTGCACATTTGACGAGAGCATTCGTTTACTGCCGTACCGGGCTTCAAATGATCTGGCTATATACACCAACAACATTTCCTCCCCTGAATATTTTGAGTATGAGGAGCTCAAGCAAATGATGAGAATCGATGACGAAGTCAATAGTTGTTCTAGACATGCCTACTTAATAGTTTCATCAATAGTGGCGAACAGCTAGCCCAGATCACCTCCAAGATCCGCCAGCTATACTGCAGTACACCACTTATGTGTATACAACACATTTGTGAAGTATTAATACAGCTGCACAACGCCCAGGCTGAAACATATAGACAAGCACAACAGATGCCGGCAATGATAGCAAAAGGGTAAAAAGGAAATATATTGACAAAAGAGAAGTCAGAATAGGCTCCGGATACTTGACCGACCCCTGCCTGACCCCTCCTCTCTTGGTTTTCATCCCAACAAACGTTGTTTTATCAAATGAAGGAGCAAGAGCGCGCGAGAGAGAGGTCTGATGATAGATGCCAGGTTCATGTCATGCTCAGTGACTGAGTCTAAGCTGACAGACAACCGCGAGAGAGCCATTGGGCAAACCGACAGCCAAAACTGCTCAAAGGCACAGGACAAGCCTCTGGCTGGGATTCACCTCATGGCCATTTGCCTACTTCGGCTTTCCCTTACTTGCTCATTTCTTTCACGACCCCTGTCGTTTCATCCTTCGACCGCCGGGTAGGGGGTCAAAACTAGCAAAGGCAACAAAGCAAACGATCAGGCATTGTCAGTGTAACGCGTTCGTGCGTACTTGCGTGTGCGTGCGCCGTATGAAAGCGAAAAGCGAAAGTCCGGATCAATCAAAGACTGTGCTATGCTGGCTGGCTTAATTCGCAGTAAGCTGTAATCGCATCGCATTCACCAGCAAACATGTGTGGGCTGACTTGCATGTTTGTGTTTGTGTGCGTGTTTCCTGAAAGAGAATGGCAATGTCAGATGAATGTCTTGTTTGTACCAAGGGAATTACCTCGCTTTTTCTTTTTCGCTTTTCTTCTTCTGGTATTTGTTGAAACTTCTTCCCGTTCATAGGCAATAGGCTCCAAGAATGTTGGTCTTTGAACCTAGCTCTCACCAATTCACAGGACGAAGGAGTGAAGGGGCGAAAGACACTGCTGGCGACACACATCGGGCCATGGCGAAGAATTCGTAGAGTGAATGGTCATGCACGATAAAGTCGCAAAAATGTTGCAAAATGGCGGATTCAGATGTCAAGACGTGAAGCCTGGCGCATGGTTGGGCAAGGTGATTACGGGTCGAAATGTGATAAAGGCGCCGCCTGTACCTTATGAAAATTGCCACCATGTTGGCGCATTGTGGTGTTTTGTGTTCACGATTAATGTTGATGGTTGTGATGTGCTGTGCGTATCATGCTTGCCGACTACGTAAGAAAACCCCCCCGTCGAAATAGATGCGCGCAAAGTCGTCACGGTATTGCCGTTGGCCGTAAAAAAGGCGGAAAATAGAATAATCGTACAAGCGCGGCCTTCCACCCACTCCGTATTTCTGATCCAAATTGGTGAAAGAGGGAGGGAGATGGGGGGCCTAGAATAAATGTCGACTCATGCCGCAGACGACTGTCCCAGATCTCCATGCCATTAGAACTGTTGTGTCGCAACCTTCAGATGGCCAGATTCTAGGCAGCATTATGGTGCAAAACGAAGCGCGGGAACAGGGCCAAATACCCCCCAAGTATCTGCCGTAACTCCAGCCGACGCGTTTTGGGATATCCGATTTTTGACCATGCCAAGAGCGAAAGAGAAGACACAGGAAAAAAAGAAAAGATTCGTCTGCTGCTGTTCAGTCCAGGGAAAGTCCCAAACAATGGACTCAAGGCTGAATGACTGCTTTGTCGCGAGATTGCGTTACTAACGGGCGCCTGCAAAGAGTCAGTTTATATTCCATCAAAGTCGAGTCCGGGAGCTACTACCATAAGGCTCGCGGCTCTCAGTGCGGGGAGCCGAGTCGACATAGCCAGCCGTAGCAGGAGCGCTGTCACGCGGGGGGCGAGCATCACGGTCACCACCGCTGGGGCGGTACTCGCGATCACCACCGCTGCCGCGGTCGTACGCAGGCGCACGGCGGTCATCACCACCACGGCCTCCGCTGGAGCCAGCGTAGCGCTCAGTGCGCTCCTCGCGACCACCAGCGTAGCGATCGATACGACCATAGCTATCGTCACGCTCGCGGCGATCATAGCTGCGGTCCTCACGGTAGCCGCGATCGTAGCCGCGGTCCTCGCGGTAATTGCGGTCATAGCCACGATCATAACCACGGTCACCACCACCACGGTCGTCACCACCGCCGCGATATCCCGATCCGCGGTAGCCGCGGTACGAGTCATCACGGCCGTAGCCACCGCCACCGCCACCGCCACCGCTACCGCCGTAGCCCCCACCGCCACGGCGTCTATCATCAAACCGACCACCGGGTCGGCCACCAGGCTCTTCTATTCTGTTAGTGAGAAATCTGCCTGTATAAGCTGAAGATTATGTGGAATTTTGCTTACCACGCTTCGGCGGGCCGAAGTACTTGCCGGGCGTAGGAGTGCGAGGACGGGCACGGCGAGCCTTCTCAATGCTGAGAGTGCGTCCCTCGATAACCTCACCCTGCAGGCCGTCCTTGGCAGCGTCGGCCATATCTGATGTAACCATCTTCACGAAACCAAAGCCACGCGACTCGCCAGTGTGAGGATCCTTCATGATCTGGCACTTCTCAACCTCACCGTACTTCTCAAAGAGACGAGTGACCTCAGCCTCCTCGAGGCGGGGGTGAATGCCCGTGACAAACAGGTTAGAGCCGGGGTTGATGGCACCATCGTCATCCTTTCCATTATCGTTGTTGTTCTTGGGAGGAGCACTGCATTTGTCGTTAGAATTGTGAGGTGAGGGTGACAGGCTACCGGAGGCAGTGCGTGGGGCGATGGGCTTGATTGCGGGTGTGATGTGGAAAACTAGCTTACCGGTCGTTGCCATTTGGCGACATGGAGCGACGACGCGTCGACTCGTGACCGTCATCGCGACGCGGCGACGCACTACGGTCGCGATCGTAGCGAGGTGGCTCATCTAGATGGCAGTGTCAGCGGCGGTCGCGATTGCGAGGTTCGTTCCGTCTTGCTGGAAGGAGAGAGGCGAAGGCGAGAGCGCGATGGCCGATGGCAGGGCTGATGAGGAGAGGTGTCGCTCGTGATGGGAATTGCGGTGGTGCACGTGGAAGCGGAAGCGGGAGCGGGAAAGAGACTCACCGTCGAAACGGTCGACGTTCGCATTCTCGTAATCCATTGCAGTGGTGGCCATTGCGATAGATTTGTGTTACCTGGTGTGTAGGTAATTTGGTGCAGGAGGGAGAAAAGTTGGCTCCGAACGACCAGTGATGGTGAACAGCAGTCCCAGGTGTTGACGGGCGGAAAATAGGCCGGAAACGAGGGATGGCCCGAGAAACAGGCAGGTTTTTCGGTGAATTTTCAGTCCCTGGCGCGAAGTGTGAAAAAGCGGACAAAAGGCAATGGGTGGCCCAAGACGGCGTGAATGGATGCGTGCAAAAAGAAAAACGGGTATTTCCTTCTCTGTGTGGTGAAGGTGGAAATGGGGTATTCGCCGATTAAAAAAAATCAAGAACAATGAGCAAGCAGGTGGAAAAAAGCGGGATGTTTGTCACAATCAAGGAGGCGAAAGAGGCGACGATGCCTTTTCGCTTTTGCAGCCAAGGGAGGGATCCCGTGGCAGTTGCAGGTCCTGGTCGCGTTTTTCCTGGCAGCTCCAGCCTCTCCTTGGTGCAAGCGCAAAGGTACTAGCTTGTTTCGGCGGAGTGGGCCTGCTGGCTAATTCGATTACTTTTCGCGAGTCGTAGTTCCCCCAAGGGGCCCAAGCTCTTCGCCCAGCTCGCCCTGCCGATTGGCAGCGAGCCAGCGACTCAGACAACCAGACGCCCGAAACGTCACAGGTGCAAATTGTAGTGTACCTTAGTTAATCTTGCGAGGGCGGGAGGTCCCGAGCCTCACTTTTTAATTAGACAAGAAGCGAAGCTGCAGACTTTCATCCATAAGCAATAGGGCGCGGGACGCTGCATTTTACATGGACACGCCGCTATTGGCTTTCGGGATGGACCTTTCTTTTTACCAAGCCCCGGCGGCCAGCGCGGTCCGCCAGTTGATTGCATTGGTCAATTTCCATTTCTCCCTTGTGTTACCTAACAGGCATGCATGTGTCGTTTCTCCGTGCATCAATTCTGCGCATTTTATAAACAGGCACAAACCGTCTGTTATGGACAAATATGCATGATAACTGATACTAGCTGATACATACTGATAGGTACCTTACCCTAGCAACACCTCTTCAACCCTATCCTATTTGAATGCTATCCAACAAATGCAATGAATGAATGCAACTCAAATCCGCAGCCCAACCTAAAGGTCATTGTCCCAATTGCTTCCACCCATCATCTTCTTCCCATGCAAACTGTCCTCGAGCAATGCTTGCTCGACATTGATCTCTGCAGGCGGCTTTTCGTCGAGGAACCTGAGGGATTCCACAGCCTTGCCACCGCACGCCCTCTCCAGCGCCAAGAAGGCGAAATGGCCCCCAACCACGGGTCGTGCAAAGAAATCGGGACCGGGGAAACCTCCAGTACCCTCAGTATCATACAGGTCTGTCAATGGGCGATCTGTGATGATTCTCAGTTAGCTCTTGCTCTCTTTTTCTCGGGAAAGGA